GATTCAAACTTGATTTGAGTCATGTTCTTCAGCTCGTCAGATCTAAACTCTGATATGGATGTCATGCACAATATCCAAATTGTTCAGAAATGTCCAACCTATCAGCTATATACAACTGTTTTCTCATCATTTTTCTGTTATCAATTATTAAAAATGGTTTCAAGAGAATGAATATTGTCTTACAGAAGACAATCCCTCACCAGATCTTATAGATTGGTGCTACATAATCACAGAGAAAGAGCTTAACCAAATCACAAAATTCTCATCACTTGAAGTCTTCCAACAGCAGCAACAACTAAAATGGATAGCACATCTAACAAGAAGGCCAAATTAAGATATAATTGTCAATACGCCTATAAAAAGACAAACATCCTTCTTCTTTCGTCATCTTGCTCCAAGATGTAGCAAGTCATAGATAAGAATTTCCCTACTGGGACACATTCATTTCCCAAGTTCACTGATGACTGAACTCCCACACACATGCACATACACACATGTGTATCACACACAAACAAGCACATTCTTAATAGCTAAGTTTTTATTTATACTATTTACATTGTACTTTTGTCCTCATTTTTATTTACATTATTTATATTATTCAGAATGTTATTTTCATCTTCATTGCCATATTCACATTTTGGCCATTGTACACTCTGGCCTTTTTCAAGTGACTGGAATTTTGAAGTGAACCCTTTATTTCATCCACTGGGATACATTGTTCTAGTTCCACGTCCTCTTCCAGATGTCTCAGTTATTTCCCTTTAACTTAACTCTCCAAGTTTTGGTACACTGCTGCTGTGGCCTGGTATTGAGCTCACAACTCTTTGGATCTAGTCACTGGATGTAACCAACATCATTATCCACTGGGCCATGTGTCCTTGAGGATTCCAATCACCTGAAGAAGGCTGGAGTGTATAATGACTGAACTGTTGTGAATATGGTAATGAAGATGAGGATAACAGTCTGAATAATGTAAATAATGCAAGTAATCATAATACCTCATCTCAGAGATATAGAGACTGAAACGTTGTGAATATGGCAATGAAGATGAGCATAACAGTTCAAATAATGTAAATAATCATAATACCCCATCTCAGAGATATAGACAGTCCTCATTTTTATTGTCATATTCACAACTTTTCAGTCATTGTAAGCTGTGCCCTTTTTTGTTTTGTTTTTTTGTTTTTTTACTATGAAATATAATGCTGGTATTTTTACTATAAAATATATTTTAATATTTTCATAATGTTTTGACTCCACTTTAGGGGTTCACCTTTTGCCCATACCTGAGACCCTAACAGGTGCTACCACCACAGGTCAGAATAGACCTAGGAACAACAGTAATTAAGATGTGGTTTCACAATCTTCAAAACCTCCCAATCAGAGGTTTTGCTGCCGGATGTAGTTTATTGTCATACCAAGGATAACAAAAGTTTAGGAAAGAAACTCCCATCAATAATGAACTGAGTGACAGTAGCACACTTGAGAAGTCTATTTTCCTAAAAATCTCTTTTTAAGAAAAAGAGTTTATTAGTTTTAACCAACAATAATACTAACTATTTGGCCAATGAATGCTGACTGTTTCCCATATGGAATTGGTTAATCTCACCATTACCAAGAATAATAAAAGAAAAAGAAAGAAGCTTGCTGGAAAATTGTCTGATAACTTTTCCAATTATGGCCATAACTTGATTAATAACCACTTCTGGCCATAAAGCCTTCCTAAGGTTTCTCTCTTTCTTATATAAACTGCCTCTTCGCATTTTTCTTCCCGGCATCTCCGACAATGTCACCAACTCACCCTGCAATCGCCTAATGTTTAATCATTTGCCTCTATGGAAAATATTCGCACTTTTCTTGAGTACCCGACCAGTTTAAAACCAGTCTGTCTTCTTAAATTCTTTTTCCTTCTCTCACTTCTTTACTTTCTCTGATCAATCGAGTTTTTATTTGTATCTATTTATGTCGACTTTTTTCCCCAGCTTTTTACTTAATGCATATATACATAGATTTTATTTGATTTTTATTCCTTTATGTTTTTGTTTTTGTTTTTCTTTTTTTAGTTGGGGTGAACAAGTCCAGTCAAGGTTAGTCGGTACATGTGTCATAGAGCATCAATCACAAAGACTCGAGCAGCTGGGGTGGTCCAACAAGTTTCTCTTCCTTATTGTTGTCTTTTATTTACGTCTTAATATTTTTTTCACATTTTTAAAATTCTTTTGCATTTTTCGTTTGTTATATTGATGTTTATCTTTCTCTCTCTCTCTCTCTATCAATGAAATCTTGTTTATATTTTCTTTACTTTTTTCTTAAATTTCTTTTCTTTAATTTCTTGCTTCTTACTCTCTCTCTCTCTTAATCTTTTCTTTCTCATTCCTTTTTTGTTTCTCTCTCTCTTATTCTTTTTCCTTGAAATTTGTGTTTACTTCTAATTTACTTTTTTTCCTTACTCTTTTTTCTTGTTCTTTTCTTTAATTTCTTGCTGCTTACTCACTCACTTGCTTTTTCTTTTTTCTCTTTTCTCTCCTGTTCCCTCTCTCTATCTCGCTTATTCTTTTTCACTGAAATTTTTAGTTTACTATTTTCCTTACTCTCCTTTCTTCTTTTTAACTTCTTGCTCCTTACTCTCCCTTGTTTGCTTTTTATCTTCTTTTCTTTCTCATTCCTTTTTTTGTTTTTCTCTTTCTCTCTTATTCTTTTTCAATGAATTCTTTGTTTCCTTTTTCCTTGCTCATCTTTTCTTTAACTTCTTGCTCCTTACTCTCCCTTGTTCACTTTTCTCTTTTTTCTTTCTCCTTCCTTTTTGTCTCTGTTTCTCCCTATTTCTTTTACATTGAAATTTTTGTTTACTTTTTCTTTACTCTTCTTTCTTCTTTTCTTTAACTCCTTGCTCTTTCTTGTTCACTTTTTCTCATCTTTTCTTTCTTCTTCCATTTTAATCTCTCCCTTATTCTTTCTTCTTCCTTTTTAATCTCTCCCTTATTCTTTCTTCTAGAAATTTTTGTTTTCTTTTTTCTTTACCTTTTTTCCTTACTCTTCTTTCTTGTTCTTTTCTCTTTCTTGTTTGATTTATTCTCTTTCCTTTCTTGTTCCTTTTTGTCTCTCTCTCTCTCTCTCTCTCTCTCTCTCTTTCTCTTTCTCTTCCTTCTTTCTAATTTTATTATCTGTCTATATTTCTGAGATGAGGTATTATGTACACTATTTACATTATTCAGACTATTATCCTCATCTTTGTCGCCAAATTTATTACAGCATTTCAGCCATTGTATGCTCCAGCCTTCTCCAAGGACACATGGCACAGTGGATAAAAGTGTTGGTTAGATCTAGTGACAGGACTCAAAGAGTCTGAGTTCAATACCTGGTTAATGCAGTGGAGAACTTGGAGAGTTTAATTAACAGGAGATAACCGATAACTGACTTCCATTAAACATGGCACGTGGAACTAGAACAGTCTACCCCAGTGAGCGAAACAAAGAGTGCAGTTTGACATTCTAACCACATGAAGAAGGCCGGAGTGTGCAACGGCTGAAATGTTGTAATAAATTTTCTTTCTTTTTTCTTTCTAATCTTGTCCTTTTCTGTCTTTAAATCTCTAGTTTTCTCTCTTGTACACACCCCAATTTCTTAGTTGTTTATTTCATATTCCATACCATAATGTGCTTCCAGATTCTTATTTCCCTTTTCTTTTGTCATACCATTTCTTTTTCTTCCTCGCCCCCTTGCATGCATTATTCTTTCTCTTATTTACTTTCTGTCCAGGATGGAATCCAAATAACATAGGTGTTAGGATCAATATTTTCTTTCACAGGAGCATCTTATATTATTCATGATGTTTTACCCACAACTTTACAGGAATTTGACCTCAGAAAGAAATCACTGGAAATTTCAGACTTGCTGTCACCTGTTCTCATAGGAATAAATCTTTGACTATTCTCTATTCTCAAGTACAAGTGGGCATAGAAATATTAGTAAAAAAAATCTATTACCATAAAATGGTTATCAATCAATGATGTGCCCTGTATGATACACCTCTAGACGATCATGTATCTTTTGATACATGACTGATGAGGCAGATTTTTTCCCACAGTAGGTTGCCATTTCTTTCTGCGGTAGACCAGTTGCTATCCAAGGCTATAGAACCCAGTTTGTCCTGCTATTTATCCATAGCGGGGAGGAGAAGAATAGGATTGATACCTTTCCCAAGGGTATTTAGCATGTAAGTGAATTTCAGTCAGTTATGTGCCATGCATGATACATGTTTAGGTGATCATGTATCTTTCGATACATGACTGACAAAGCAAATATTTTCCTGCAGTAGGTTGCTGTTTCTTTCTGCTGTAGATCAGTTGCCATCCAAGTCTACAGAACCTGGTCTGTCCTGCTATTTACCCATAGCTGAAGAAGAGGATTCATACCTTTCCCAAGGGTATTAGCACATAAGTGAATGTAATGGATTTGACTTGAATTTGAACTTGGCCCTCCGATTCCTCAGTTCGAGCCACTATCCATTACTCCACCATCCTGAAATATAACAACGATTAAAAAACAGCTAAACCAATTTATCACTCCTTTTTCATCAAAGCAATGATCAAGAATGAAAATGACTAAAAATTGATTGATTCATTCATTTACTATGGCTTATAAACACTTTGTAAGTTGTTTAAAGCCAGAAAATATTTTTAGATTACAAGAATTTTTTCTTTTTTGAGATATTAATGAATTAGTAATACAATTACTAATTAACCCATAGCTTAAGGGAGAAGAGGTGGATTTAAACCTTTCTCAAGGATATTTGCACATAAGTGTATTTAACAAACACAACTGAAATTGAAACTCAGCTCTCCAATTAACAATTCCAAGCCATTATCCATTACATGAACTGCACATCTTAGCTTACAAAACATGGCGAAGTGAATATAACGAACCCAACTGGAATTGGAACTCTACTCTCCGATTAACAATTCTGAGCCATTATCCATTACACCACCTGCACATCTAAGCTTCCAGCACCTGGTTTTTCAAGCAGTCACCCATCTAAGTACTGACCAGACTCGACATTGCTTAACTTTGGTGATTGTACAGGAAGTAGTGTTTCAATATGATATAGCTGTAAAAAGTAAGCAAGATTGGTTGATGGACTTAAAAATTAGCTTTTCAGTCTTATATTTTCTTGTATTGGGTTTCATACTTTTTAATTGCTGTACATATCTTGCACCCTGATATTTTCTTTGACCGATAAAATTCAGTAACTGTTTTTTGAGCATTATTACATTATATTTTGGTATTACCATTTTATGGTTATATATTTTTGCTACCCCACCTCTCTTTTTTCTTTTTTTATGAATTTTAATTTTTTTTGTTATGGATAGTCTTTTAATATGTTTTTATTGTTTTAAATGTTTGAAATACCTCTGCTATAAAAAAAAAAAAAAATTATTTAAAAACAAGTATAATTCTGTGCCTAGTTCTGGGTATGATGATAAACTACTTCCGGCAGCAAGGTCTCTTATCCAGAGATTGTAGGTTTTAAGGAGCATGGAACCACCTCTTAATTTCAGTGTGTTTTAAGGTCCACTCTAACCCAGGGTAGCAGGCTCTGTTTGGGTTCCAGCTATGGGCAAATAGAAAGCCCCCAATCAAAAACAAAACACCATGAAAGTATAAAAATACTAGCAATACATTTTTGTAGAAAAAAATTACCAGCAATACATTTTTATAATAAAATGACCAGCAATACATTTTTATAATAAAATTACTAACAATATGTATTTATGGTAAAATGACCAGCAATATGTTTTTATATAAGAAAATTTACCAGCAATACATTTTTATGACGTAAAATGACCAGCAATGTGTTTTTATATAGTAAAATAACCTGCAATACGTACTTAAAATAAAATTACCTGCAACACATTTTTATTGTGTAAAATTACCATTAATATGTATTTATAGTCAAATGACCAGCAATATTTTTTTATATAGTAAAATTACCAACAATACATATTTATAATAAAATGAGCAGTAATACATTTTTATATAACAAAATTACAAAAAATGACCAGCAGTATGTTTTTAAAACAAAATGATTAGTCTATAACACTTACCACTACCTGCAGGCTAAGATATTATCAACCAATAAGGTGTTTCTGTGAGAATATATTTTTTTTTTTTATTGATAAGCCTTGATTCTGATCCTGGACATGATAATGCTGCATGCTAATATAACTGTAGAATCAGATTCCTACATTTTTTTTAAATCTTAAATTTTGTGCAAGTTAAACACATAGAGGCTCCCAACCATATATAACAACTGATGTATTTTGATTGGTTGTAAAATATTAATTAGGTGTCGTCAACTACGTCCGAAGGTACCGACCCAAATTTTGACCTCTAGTTGACACCATAAAATGTAAACATGTTTACGAGCCTCCCCACGTGACCAAGAGAATTAATAAAAACAAAACTTTGATGCGACTTGGTCAGTGGGCACTTAAAATATTGAAACCAATTCACTTGACTTCATTGGAAATCAACACAGCAAAGGAGACAAACTTATCTTCAATACAACAACAAACTTTGTCAACCATCTCCAGGCTTAACGCTCACTCCCACAAAATATTCCATTCCACAAGAATCTCTGGTTAATGAGTGATAACTCTATAACAATCAGACAATACTTTTTTCTATTTAATACACAAAAAATATCTGTTTAATTTTCCTATAAAAACAAATATAGCTAACTAAACCATGTCATTTTCACACATACAGTACAGTAACTCAAATTATTTCAGTAACACACACACCAAAGAACTCTATTGTGTTTATCAACTTTTGCACTATATACTATGTATTTGTTGTGTTTATAAAAAATATTTATTGTTGAACAAATTCATAACTTCTTCTACTTGATTATTTCTCTTGTTGTTGTCTTTGTTACATTTGATATTGTAAAAATTGTAGAGGGTCAGTTTTTACTTCTATTTATAACCAATACAAATTGGCTGACCCACTATATAACAAAAGGAACATTCTAGAAAAAGGATTGTGAAAAAAAAACAAAAAAAAATTGTCCTTGGAACTTATCTTCCACTAATCGGAATAGAATTTGAAACCCACAATAATATGAAATTATAATTCCATAAGCCTGCCAACTGAAATATAAAAAAAAAGCTTGTGGGATGGTTAAAATTGTTATTCATTCACACTACCTCATCAGAGTAGATAGTCAGGACAGATGGGGTCAAGCCCATCAATTAATATTTTCAGCTAAGAGCAAGATGATGTTAGTCTTCAAGAAGATCACTCTAGCCAACCAAAAACTTTGGGCAACATACCAAAACTAATAACTGACAATTTGTTATTCTGAAAGTGCCCTCAAGGAGACCAAATCCTCCTATAAGATACATTGGTGTTAACATAATTTTGTATTCAGCGCTCATTCTACAACAGACACAAAGCTAATATGATTGGCCTTTTGATCTCTGACAGTTCAGAATATTAACAACTGCATGTGAACTTTCACTGTATCTCTCTAACAAGGAAATATTTTTAACTTTATTGACTAAGTCCCCATTCTTTCTCTTCCAAGGTTAATTTTTATTAGGCGCTGAAGAATATTTTGAGCAAGCTGTCACATCTTTCTTTTCTTTCCATATAAGTTTATACTAATATCTTTCTCTCAATTTCATACTGAATAAAAGTTCTGTTTTGTGCACCAGTACACTGCAAACACTTATTCCACCCATTTGGAAAACTAAGTATGAATACCCACACAAGAGTAAAAGCCTGCAAAGTAATGTAATTTGTTAAACTGCGTCAAGGTTAAAACTTAACCAGAAATATATAATTTTTTAATACTTTCTGATGTACAATGACTGACCACTACTAATAGTTTCATTCAATCATCACATAGTTGGCAAGTGTTTTTTGTGAAAGAAAAGCTAGTTAATGATGTTACAATGAGGGTAGCTGATGTGCATGTAATATGCTCACACCAACTAAACTCACCCATATGGCCATAATGGAAAGGCCAAAGAATTACTATTAATTAGAGTGGAAAAAAAACTAACCAGAAAAAAATCAAAAGTGTGTCTAGAATGTGGTCAGTAGCATGGGAAACAATGGAACATCAGCAAAGAAGCATAACGCCAAAACCAAATTCATGGATAATTATTTTGGGCATACAATGACATGCCTATCACGAAGACTCACTTTGCATCTCTCTGACCATAGCTCAGTTAGGATTGTAAACACACAGGAAAACTACCAAACTTCAACCACAAAATACTCATAGAAAATACAACTATGATAATTTCATCCACATGTAAAAAAAAGGCTAAAAATAATGGAAGCATTAATAATAAAAAAAAACAACACTCAATAACATCAACTATGAACATGGTCACAATCTGCTGACCATGTTTGTAAAAAAAATTCTCATCACTATAGATACACATATATAAAAATCTACATATTCAGTTAAAAATTTTAAAAATATCCTTGGTAATGGCTAATAGCCAAAAGTTCTCAGATATAAAGAACATTCAGGCAGTTTTTGCACACTTTATGTCCAGAAAAGAATCACTTCAATGAACAAAAAAAAATTGAATGAAAAGTTTAATTGTAATGTCTTGTCAGTCATCTTTAATGAAACTTGTATAAAAGGACTGCTGTCCAAATACACAGTGCATATATATATATATATATATATATATATATATATATATATATATTTTTTCAACTCTCCTGTTGAATTTGACATATGTGGGTCAAGCAGTTCAGTTCCTAGAAACTGAAAGACCGACACCAGCACATGAAATTTGCTTGTAGTGGTGAAGGTTTTGTGCACAACCGTTCACACTTTTTGAAGTGCAGAATACAGAGACCTGGTGCACTATATGCCACAAGGTCCCCAAATGAAACTCCGCAGGTTTTGAATTCAGAGTTGTCCTTCTCCTAGACCAGTTGCCATCCAAGGCTATAGAACCCAGTCTGTCCTGCTATTTAACCATAGCTGGAGGGAGAAGAAGAGGATTCATACCTTTGCCAAGGGTATTATCACATAAGTGAATGTAATGGATTCGATTGGAATTCAAACTCAGCTCTCTGATTCCTCAATCTCCACTGTGACTCTTGTTATATATATTTATATATAACAAGTGCACCTCAGTAAATCAGTGCTGCTGATGGGGCATTTGAAAAGCTAATCAAACGTGTCTTCAACAACAAAGATCTGAACTTAACAACAAAAATTATGGTCTGTAATGCTGTTGTCATTTCAATTTTGCTATATGGTTTCAAAATCTGGACTCAATATTTATTGTGAAAAAATTACACAATTATGGCACAAGACCGAAATGGGGGGGGGTGAGGCTGGTCATCTCTAACTATCTTATACGTAGCTAATCCGATTCACAACCCATTCATACATTACAGTTTCCACATCCACCATAAGAACTTGTCCATCACCAATCAATCCTTCATAAACCATAATACCACATCCTCTCAAGGGGATCCGACAAAACACGCCCCATGCCATAAAAATATAATGATTATATATATATATATATATATATATATATATACATTTAAAAATTTATGGATGAATAAAATGAAGGGGGAAGGAGATGAACCCAGTAAGAAACTAAAAAGATACACAAAAGCAACTAAACATCTGGACTCTGTATCATCACAACATCCCAAAATTAGAACACTTTCACTAGCAAAAGCTTTGTTCAGTCTTGAAAATAAAAATGGAATTACTATGGGACTAACCCCCAAATCCTGGAAAGAGTCAACAGTCAAGGCACTGTATCACTGTTCATTAAACGCCATTTTTGATGGTCAGAAAATGATCAAAACTAGCAGAGTCATGGTTTCTGTGTCAAATCTTATTCCATGAACTCACTTCAGGGTAAAAAACACAGGTTTGCCCTCTTCAAAGGTACCAGGACCAACTCAAATCAACACCAAAAGCCGCTGGACTTGAGGCTAAATCATTTGCAACATAAGGACCAGATCATACCAACTAGCAATGTTCCATTATTGTTGGAAGCAAAAAGAGAAAAGGAAAAAGTCAAATGGCAAGAAAGAAAAGCTTGAGAGAATT